AAAATGTCTAAGTAGAAGAAAATATTTGTAAATTTTCTGCGGTAAATTCTAGTTTTATTAATCTTAAGTGTAATTTAAAGATTTTTTTAATCATGCCAATTTTATTTTGTTTTTGTATTAACTTTAAAATTCACATCTTTATAACAATGATTCATTAATCACTTTGTCAGCATTTTTAGTTTGAAAGCTGTTTGCGATTAGATTGGGATTTATAATCCCTGCTGTTCCCTTCTTTTTTTTTTTTTTTTTTTTTTTTGAGTCCAATCTGGACCAATCTAGGTAATTAAAGAATTTCATCGCTTTTCCCTCTTAACATGTTCGTGGCTTGTCTGTTGGGCATTCACCAATAAATCTCCTCAAATCTGATGCAACAGCAGCCAAAATCGTTTATCTCACAAACTCTGCAAAGTTTGGCAGCTGTGGCGACAGTCGCGGCGTTCCCCAGGGCGGCGTCTCAGAGCCATCAGGCATCTGGAAATATTTAATTACTTAAATGGCGCGAAGGTCGGAGGGTCTTCTGCAGTCAAATGCGTTGGACGTAGCTTGTCAGGAGTGATGTAATCAGTGAAGAGACTCTTCTGCATAAATCCTAAATAACATGAAAGGATCGGCAGCTGCAGTTTGGTTCACCAGTTGGCGGCGGGTTATTGAGCTCATTCACGATGAGCTAACCCTGTTGCGCTCTTTCTTCTGGTCCCAACATGGCGGCTCACAGAGCAAATGTCAACTTTAGGCATCTTATTTTCAGAAGTTTGCGTCTTTAAGGCTGCAATGAGAAATCTCAAGATTTTAGTTTGTTCTCTAGTCAAAGCTGCACAACAAGTCAAATCACAGTAATTACCTCAGTAATGTTCAGTACTGCTCTCCCAGTGCAATATTTGCATTCCAATCATTTTTTTTGAATCAGCTTTTTCTGTCCATGACTTGAGACTCTTTTAAATTTTGCCGTACAAAATTCACATTTTACTCAGTTTTCATTTTTCCATTTTGGTTCAACTGCTTCTAGAAACAGTTGAATAAAACATCCAGCTAATCATTGACACAAGTTGATGGTTTTTGGTGTCTGGAAAACGGGCCGTTTCAAAAACCTGCATAAGTCACATGCTGTTACCTAGCAACCAAGCTGAGAAAGCCTGTTACCTAGCAACCCAGACTGAGTTCCAGAAGGTTTGGTCAGCTGGTTTTACTGCTGCATGTGCAGTGCAACGGCTGCGTTCTCGTCGGTTATGCAGTGCAATGGCTGCGTTCTCGTCGGTTGGGCAGTGCAATGGCTGCGTTCTCGTCGGTTGGGCAGTGCAACGGCTGCGTTCTCGTCGGTTGGGCAGTGCAATGGCTGCGTTCTCGTCGGTTGGGCAGTGCAACGGCTGCGTTCTCGTCGGTTGGGCAGAAGGCTCCACTTCTGCTTTTCAAAGATGTACAGTTGCATGATCTGGCTGCAGTCATTTTCACATGCAAGTGTAAACATTGAGTTGATATTTGAATTACTTTTAAAAATGGATGAAATAAATAAATTACAGTTTAATTTCACACAAACCTCCAAAAAAGGCCTGGAAATGTTTTCTTAAAAAAAATACTAACTTATGTAGTGTGCTTAATATACAAACAGTAATAAATGATGGAGATGCAATTTATTGCACCTGTGAGTCTTGTTTCTGCAGAGCAATAACTGCTTTATCACATGCTGTACACATGAGCATGTTTGCTAATACCTGATTAGTCGTAAAGAATCGCTCTGGGCTTCGTTAGTCTCCCTGACTAGGCTGTCGCTGCTTTTCATTTAACTGCGATTACGCCCAGACGCTCTGCTTTTACCTCAGCTGAAAAGGAGAAATGTCTGCTGTCGTTATTTTTAAAGATTGTTTCTGATGTCGCAGTCAAAATGCTGGTGGCTGAGTGAGCTGCTGCAGAGGAGAAAAGCCCGCCGTGTTTGCCTGAGAGCAGAATTGATTCAGGCCACTTTTCTTCTGACACAATATGTCTTTGTTTATTGCTAAATTTATTAAGCTGAGCGTGAAGCGTAAGCAGCTTCTGTGCTTGGAGGCAGAAAGTGCAGAGAAAATCTGTACGTCTGCAAACAAACCAGACTGAGATTAGATCAGTAAAGCGGCCTAAACAAAGTATTAAATGAATAAATGCATTATATTCAGGCATGCTTCTATTTGTCTGTTATGAAATTGGATCTTGATTCTGGAGGATTTTTTTGTTTCGTTGACAGCTGTTTCCAGATATATATATATATATATATATATATATATATATATATATAATTTTTTTTTTTTGAAGGTTCATGTGGCAGACAGTTGAAGAAATGATGCAAGTGACTTTAGTTGATGCGCAGCAGCTTTTGAGACTTTGTCTCTGCTTGCGTCTCGTTCTTTTGTTCACCCAGAGATGAAGGTAGGAATGTAAATCTGGAGCTTCGCCTTTTGCTTCAGCTCTGCCTTTTCCATGACGGGTTGATGCGTCATCACTGCAGAGGCTGAACCACGTAACGCCGCCACGTCACTCATGACCAATAAGACCCCACCATTCTTGGAGCTTTACCACCAGTCCTGTTTGGGCCGCTTTAATCCGACTCCAGTCCGTTTGTACAGAAAGCCCGGTCCAGTTGAGGTGTGAACGCTATTGAGTTCTGGTCTGCAGACAAACCTCTGTCTCCGTTAGGTTGAAGTGAACTCTGATGCAGTTTGAATGCATATATGAATGCTAAGAAGGCCAGAAACCAATGCTACTCATTTTGTGTTTTCTTGAGGTTTTTGTGATTTCCTTCAGTAGTTCTGGTTGCAGCGCCCCCACAGGTGAGAAGGGGAACGGGTTGTTCAGAGGGTTTGGTTGTTTGGACTCAGTGGAAAAGAGAAGCAAACAGTGTAAATTGGAACAAATGGAGCAAATCTTGATTCCCAATTGACCCAAAACTACTGAACTATTGGATTTGGTAGATTTGCTGGACTTGGATCAGTAGATTCAAGCAAATCTAAAAGATCTAGGATTAGAGTAGGACTGAGTTAGTCCTACACTGATCTGTAGGGTTGGTCCTACACATTTCCTACAGATTAGTGTCAGACTAACTTGTTTTTAATAACTCGATTTCAAAAAGTGCTTATTAGATTTTATTTACAGAATACTTCAGTGTATTTTGTCCATTGAATCCTGGGTTGAGTTCAGCAGCCCAGGATTCAAGCTGCTCTGCTGCAGTTGAGACGCATTTCTGACTAAAATACTGCTGTCAGTTTTTCTTCAGACACATCTCTCTTCATAATGGTTCATTCATTACCTTCAATGGCTCCTGCAGATTTATGCTTTGTCTCAGATTGAGCTTTGACTGCACTCTGCCAGGCGGACAGTTTGGTTACATTTCAGGATTCAGACTTATTCTCTTCATCTCTACGTTTTATAGCCACATGTCTGTGATTTTTGCCTTATAACTGGAGAGGTGCTTGTTTGTTCGCTTTTACGAATAATCTAGTCAATTTTGGTTTAAAGTGTCTCGTTTTATTATCCGTCTTTCAAACGTATTCTCAGAGGAAGTGACCCTGGACGCCTGATGGATTCAGTGTTAAATCGCTGTCTTTATGTCTGCGCTCTGCTGTCTCTTGTCAGCCGCTGAGCTGAAGTCTCACTCCGTCCTCTGAGACCTGTGTGCACGATGCCGAAGCCCTGCAGGCTGCGCTTCACATGAAATGGCACACAGAGTGGCTGCGAGATCACATGCCGCTCACGCTGTGCAGGCGGACCCGAGTGTCAGGAGACGGGGGGGCATGGATGGATGGAGGGAAAGAATCGGCCTCTTTTCACTCAATCAGGACTGCATTACAACACAAAACCACCTGGAATACCAATGGTCTCTGCAGGGTTTTGGCGCAAAGAAACGTCAAGTTCACCAGATGTTCATCCTGCCCGACGCGTCGCCATCAGGCTGAATAAGTTAACGAACAAAAAGCACTAAAAAAATCCTATTTTAGTAGTTGAAATATTAAACATACCTGCTTTAACATATGTAGTGAAAACCTCATCAGTACAACAGAAGCTAACAGCTAGTGTCTTATTTCTGAGGTTGAACCAATCAGATGCAAGGAAAATGAATGTCACTCCTGGATTGGCTGCTTTACCAGCCAGTAGCCCGTCATGTGTGCAACTATTTCAGCTGAAAGAAAAGCTGCTTTTTCTTTCAGATATTTTAGATGAGTGAAAAAGCTGAGAATAATTTATGTTCCACAGAAAAATCCACAAAAAGTCCTAAATGTTTGGTCAATCATCCATTCTTTTTGTTTTTTCCAGCTTCTTTCCTCTTTTACAGTAAACTGCTGCAATAAAAGATTAATCTCACCTTTTGCTCGTTAGTTTTTGCACTTTTATAAAAACGTTTATTTGATTGGGAAATATTAAAGTTCCTGTTTTCTGTGCATATTGGATTGTTTTTCATTTCTGTGTGAATTTGTTTCTGATCTTTGTGGTTTTCTTCCACCTGCTGTCCTTGGACAAACTGCATTTCTCAATGTTTTAATGAGTTTCTTGAAATTGTCAAATTTTTCTTCCAGGTTCTGAGAACTTAACGTTTTGGATAAATATTCTTAGCATTCCCTTCTATGTTTAACTCAGTTGTGTTTACACTCAGGTAAAACGGTTTTACTCTGAAGGGTCGAATCTCTTGGTTGGGTTTTAGAAACGACCAGCTGAACCTCAAACTTTTAATGAAAGCACATTCTGCGTCTCAAACAGTTAAACTAAGATTAGAAGTGTCTCTGCTGCAGCTCTTTGCATAAGACTTTGTATTCATGCCTTGTAAATCGAGCTCTAATACTGACTAACTCTGACATTTATGGCATTATTCAGTGGCTGACATTTTACGACGCTTCTCCCAGGTTTCATCAGTGCTCACTGGGGCAGGTTTCAAACTTCAGCGCTGCTTTAATGTAGCGCTGAGTTGGATTTCTGCAAGCTAGAAACTCCTTTTTATTTCTCAGACGAGTAAAATACTTTTTTCTTTTCTGTTCCTGCAGAGCGTGTTTACCCTTCTGTTGGGGCCTTTCACCTTCTTCAACGCCCAGAAGACCAAATATCTTCAGATTCTCACATCACTCATGCGTTGGCTCGGTAAGAGGAATCCAAATGTTGGAGGTTAAAGACTTTATGTTAAAATAACATAAACTAGTACATCTGAAAAACATTGGAATCTTGTGTAAAATGCAATATTTCAGATTGCTCTAGTAGCTGCCGTCAGGAAGTCTTTTACTGCAAACTCTTAGCAAGTATTTCTGATCTAGTTTCTAGTGTAAATATCTCAGAACACTTGAAATAAAACTAAGTTACACACAACTCTTAAAGACATAGGTGCTTATTTTAACTCCAAAATGTTAATTTTTAAAGTACCGCTTTTACTTGCAGACTTTATCTCATAACTTTGGGGAAAAAAGTTGAAAAAGTGAAAAAAATCACCAGCTGAATTATCAACAAGTCCTATCAAAACCAAACCTTACAAAGTCATTAGCATAATAATTACTGAGATGGACTGAAAGATATATTAAATGGCATTAATCCTTTGCATCTGCTTCTACTTCCTGCTAATGTTTAGTTTTGAGTCTGTTTAAAAATGTGACGACTATACATGAGTTTGTACTGGATGCATCAACATATTTCTAGAAATCAATAAAAAGATCTTAAGAGGAAAACTGACAGCTTAGTTTTGTTTTAAATTTAATTAGATGCATTTAAACTTAAATAAAGCTGATTTCTTAAGAGGAATACATGCGTCCTGAAGCTGCTGTGTGGTCTAATCCTGACCGTCAACAGGTGAATAAAACCAAACGGCAGCAAATCTGGAGAGAAATGTCTGATAAAGTGTAGGCTGTAATGGCCTGGTCAGCTTCAGGCTGATTGAAACGCTGCAGTCGGGCCTTCAGAGAGCCGAACGTCGCCAAACCTCATCGAACTGAAGCGGTGATGGAAACGAGTCGGGCGGCTTCTCCTCGGGCTGAGGGAGTCGGGCAGAAAACGATTAGAGAGCTACTGTTCCCTCTAACTCTCGTTTGAAGCCTTTCTGCCATCACAGGATTTTAACTTTCCAAGTTAAACTGATTTGCCGATTTTTGTCCTGCATTTCTGGCTCGTCGCAGCCGTTTTCCATTTTATCTTCTGTTTTTGCCTTTGTGGCCGCTGCGGTCAGGTCCATCCATCACGATTCGGTTCTGCCCCGTGTCTTTGATTCCCATCTCCTCTCATTCCTCAGCCTGACAGGCTTGACAGGCCGTCCCAAGCCTGATTGGACCGTCACTCACTGGGGCGACGGGCAAAAATAAACCGTCCGTCCAGGAGCTGCAGCTAAAATCACAAGCCGCTCATAAACAACACAGCAGCATCCATGCAGCGTCCTGTTCCTCTGACTCTGAACGCTCGGCGTAATTGATCCTGGTGTCACTTTACGTCATGCTCTTTGCTGCTCAGGCTAATGATTTAAAATGTCTTGGCTGCAGGATTTGCTTTGTGTTCACATCATCACAGGAAGGAAAACGGATATAAAAGATATTAGCTGAGATCTGGGTTTTGTTTACTTGTATTGGTTGATGCAAGTAGGTGGATGTAGAATTTTATCAAAATGTGATATAACTTATCATAAAAATTATTTAATTCAAGTTGAGATAACACACTAAATCTTAAAAGTACTGGTGATTGAAAAAAGGACGCAGTACGTTGCTAATTGTCAACTCTACAACAACCATGTAAGATTTAATAGAAATAGAAGGAATGTTATGCTAGCTTGACTATGACAATCTTAGCATGTAGATGTGCTGCAGAATTCTGTCCAGTTTTCTTCCCTCCTTCATTCCTTCCTTTTCTGTTTTTCCTTCTACCTCGCTCTTTCCTACCCTCCTTCCTCCTCCATTTTCCTACTTCTATCCTTTCTTTCCTCCTTTCCTTCCTTCCAGTGTCTCCCTTTCTCTCCCAGCGGAGGTGGAGACATTGCCTTTGTAAAATCGGACTCCTGTTCTCGGCGTTTAGATGTTTTTTGGCGGCGCTCTGAGAAGCCGAGCACACTGTCGACCTACTTTGTAAATTAAATCATTAATCCTGACCGATGACCTCGCTCCTCTTCTGTCTGTGGCGGCGCGAGTTTGTTTTCAGTCCAGAGGAGGAGAGCGCAGACACGGCGAGTTATAGACTGCTGGCACGCGTCTGCGGCTCCTCGGGGTGAGAAAACGTAATTATTCAGTCTCGTTTCCTGCTAACTCCACTTGCTGCGCTGCTCACAGGAACAGACAGAAACATGTTTGTAGTTATTTAAGATATGGAGATATCTCAATCGAAGTGACGCCCAGTAAGGAATTGGCTCTTTTACTTCATTTTCTTCTGTAATCCGTTTTGGAGAAACTCCATGATAAATCCTTCATCGGTGTCATGTTCCTTCCTCCCTGCTGGTTCTGTTCTGCTTTCTCTCCTTATTTGCATTTATTTGAATAACTAATTAATTTAGTAAATGATTATTCTGACGATTAATTGGATATAAAAATGCAACATTCTACAGCTTTTTCATTAAACCACTTAAACTTTTTATATTACAAATGCAATAAAAGATTAAATGAATAAATTCCTTTTTTAAATACTAAAATATTTTCTTATGCAGTAAACCTGATTAATTTTAGTTAAATTGGCTTAAATAGTTTGAACCTAAACATGTTGCAACTCTTTTCTTTTGCTTCACTTGTCGTTTTTTAGATTAAACTAATTATTGGGTAGCAAAAGGTGTTTAATCTGAGATTAACAGGATTACAACCAAGTGAAGCTAAAATTGCCTATTGAGGAGTTTTGGGTTAAATATTTACAGACTTTTCCATCTTCAAAGCAAATATACATTTTTGTTTTGGTCCAACTTCTGCTCTGAAAATGTTTTCAATAATTTTTTAGTGTCCAATTAACCATTATTTACTAAATTAGTTGTCAATCATTGCAGCGATTAATCGTTAATGGATTTCAGTCCTTCTCCTCTGAACTCTCCAGATTCTTTACGGGTTTTTTCGCTGCAACTCAAAGTTTGTGCTTCGTTTGTGGATTTTCTGCCAGATTGAGGTCGGACTCTGCAACTCCAGGGTTTTTCTTCAGCCAGTTCATTTATGGTCCGTTTTCTCAATGTCATTCTGGATCAGTTTGATCAAATCTGACCTGCTGATTATATTTTGGTTTAACCAATTAACTAAATAGATGTTTGAATATATTTGCAGACAAAAGGTTTTTTTCAATCCTACATGAAAAAAGACATTTTCTCTTAATTAGCTCTCTGTGCATGTTGGCTTTTTTCTGAGTATGCATACTGCAGTCAATGATTAATCAATTATTAAGTTAGTGGAAGATTATTTCAATAATCTTTTCTGCATCTTTACAGTATAAACTAATATCTACAAGTGAAAAACAAACATTCACGCCTCCATCTAATGCTCTTAGTTTACTAATGCGCCACGAAGAGGCTGGAAACGGCCGCAGGCGTGTTGACGTCTGCATGGTGGCATTTCAGGCGCGTGGAGGAGGGAGAAGCTGCTTGTGAAGGTCATTTGGGACTCTGGTGGCTTGTTGAATTGGGAGTTCAGCAGGCTGCTCACAGGGCGACAGTGAAATATGAGCCAGTCTTAATGAACTGTGCAGCAGAATCACAGTTCAGAGGTGCTGTGAAACTTTGCAATCACAGATTCAGAAGCAGGTCTGTTGTGCGTCGAGATGCTGGATCTGCCTTGAAAGCAGTTAATTTTTTCTCAATAATGAGTCAAAATTTTAAACAGTCTTTTGTTCATTTTCATTGATAACACCATAGTTGATGAAGGGAGTGGAATTGTTCCTATCCATCTGCTGTGCTTAGTTTACCAATACACCATGAAGAGACTGGATGAATGCTGCTGTGCATCAGGAACATTTTGACTCGTTTGGATCTTTTCACGTAGTTTTACTTCAGTTTATTCAGATTCCTCGGCTCGTCCTTCTGAGCCTGGCAGGATAAATGGTCATGCATGCGCCGCGTTGCTCTGTTTGCTGACGGCTCTATCGCAGATCGCTGAACGCGTTGCAAGGCAGCGAAGCAAGGCAGCGAAGCCGCTTATCAGCCAGTCGTCCACCAGAAGCAGCTGATCGGTTTCAGACGATAAAGTTCTGCTGCGGAGAAACGGAGAAGTCGTGGCTGGAACTGTGTGAAGAGCTGAAGGAGAGCCGGTGCTAATCAATGAGATGATTGTCGTACTCCGAAACCACTGGAGGGAAAAGTATAAACGTGAAAACAGAGCACAACTCAAACTGTTTGAAATGTTGGTTTTGTGTGAAAATGTAAATTTTCCTCCTTGATTCCCGACTTGTCTTGCAGTTTGTTGCTGCTGAGATGGATTTCCTCTCCAAGCTTGAATTTACTGCAGGATCCCATCTTTTCTTTTTCTTGAGGCCGTTGGTGACTCTGGGTTTTGTGGTGGAGACAATAGAGCTGTAGGAGTTTCCTCTGGGCGTCGTTAAGTCGAAGCATTCCTCACAGGGCCGCTGACAGGCCGTCTAGGTGATATAAATCAGGTTTTGTTAAACGGACATGGTGAAGTTACCTAGACGTGATGTATGGCTGCCGAAAGAAAGAACTGGAAGTACATCAGCACTGAACTCTAAGAACAGCAGCGTGAAAGTGTTTATTCTGATTAATTTATTTGCATGTTTGTCAGATTTTGGTGTTTCAGAACATCACACCAATTAAAATTTTAATCCAGAGTTTCAGCAGCTCAAATTTCAGACCATTATGAATGAAATTTAAGACCTGCATAAATGTACAAACCGCAGAATTGCGTTGCATCTGTAACAGAAGTGAGTTGGTGGCGAAGACAAACGTCTGTCAACATTTACCAAAGATGGATGCAACAAAGCTAGCTGGCTAGCAAGACTTTAGCAGCTAGTTAGCACTAGCATAGCCTCATGTTGATGTGCGACTGAAATCTTCGCCTGACAGAAACGTCCCACTAGAAAATAAACGTAACAGAATATATGATTTAAATAGTGCTGGCATCACAAAACTTAAGACTTGGGCAACTTGCATATAGTTGAAGGGGGCGTGGCCAGCAGGAGCTAATTTGCATAAACGTTACAGAAGCCAAAAAACAGATAAGTACAGGCAGAACTGACTAAAATCTCTTAATCTAAGAATTATTTTTACAAAAATATAATAAACATGTTTTGTAAGATCCTAAAATAGGTGATCTATTATGTTCAAGGAAGCTCAATGGATCACTTGAACCAACTGAAATCCTCCATCTTGGATCAAAATGCCTGACCTGTCTGTGATTCAGATTCTTTCACACCTTTCTCACAGCCTCCACTTCTGACTCTTAATCTTGTCCAAACTGGCGAAGCTGCTTTAAGTAATGCGATAACAGCCAGCTGCCCTGAGGCACTCCTAATTAAAAGCTCCATGCGATTACGCTTCCTGTGAAAGCCTCTGAGGGTTAAAGATGAAGGAGAGCAGCTTCCTTCCTCCTGTCCTGCACCTTTCTCTTCCTCACAGCCTCTTGTAGATTAAAAACTGGAGCAGATGGGTGACTGCAGAGTTGTAAAAAAAAGATTAAAAGTAGCTCAAATAAAAGACAGAATATGTATTTTTCTCTTTATGGCTGCAGATGAAACAGACTTTTTGTCCTTGAAAGCTGGTCTGTTGCCCACCGTCCCGACCTCTCCGTAATAAAAGGGTTAACGTTTAAATTGGGAGTCGCAGAGCTTTCCCCACACCCTGAGATTACTTTGGACGGAGGCCAAAGATGCATTAAATATTGAACAATCGTGCAACAGGTTTCCCACATTGTGATTCTGCTGAGTTCAAGGAAAAGTAGGAAGCAAAGGGTGAAGATTGGAGCTGATCCTCTTTCAGAATAATCTTCTCTTCAAGTGAAAAATGAGACGTCTTCCAAAGCTTTCAAATCATTTTTTATTTCTAAAAAACATAAATCTTTAAAAGTGAAACCGCTTCAGCCTCAGATTGGGTGAAAATATTGAACCTCTAAAGTTTTTGTTTGGTTTCGCACTTTTAAAAACTGAAAAACCTGATTGTCAAACTCGAGGTCTGAGGGCCAAATCTGGCCCCCCCACATCTTTTTCTGGCCCAGAAATAAAATCTTATGTGATCAAATAGAATAGAATAGCATTTATTGTCATTGAACAGGATTCAACGAAATTTCTGTTTTATCAATTCAGTTTTTTCTGTTTGCTGCCCAATTACATCAGTTAATCCCTCCAGTTTTTTGTGAATTCATGCAAAATCAACACTTTATGGCTAATTTTATGCACAAAATGGGCAGAAATGTTGATGCTGACGCTAACCTGCAGGTGGCAGTATTTCTTCCTTCTACTCCACTGCTGACTTGGCCATAGCTGATGTCAAGTAACCATATTTGCAAATGTTGCAAAATTTCTTGTTTCCCAATTTATTTTTGTTTGACTTTGGTATTTTGGTTTTATTTAACCTAAATAAAATACCCGAGGTGTTTAGGGTGAGATACTTAAAAACAAACTTGTTATATTCAGTTGACCTTGTCCCTGCTGCAGAATAATACAATATTTATAACAAACTCCTAGATCTTGCAGAAAACACTGAAAAATGAAAATGTAGCTCCAACTTAAAAATTGAGTTAATTTGTTCCATCTAATTAAAGAAGTTTAACTTAGTTTAGTTGCTTAAAAGCAATCTTCAATTGGTTTTGTATTTTTTAAAGTGTACTGGACTAAAAATACGTGGTGAGATTTTGTTTTTGCAGTGTGGAGATGGAAAAGTTTAAAAGCCTGAATTTTACAGTCGGAAAAGTGAAACGTCTTCAATCACAGTGAAGGTGTGAGGTTCAGATAATCGACTCGCTGCTGTCCTGAGTGTCACCGTGCGTTTAGCGGACACCCGGTGACGAGCGGCGAGGATCCGGCTGGCTGCTGGCCGACCAGAAGCCAGCCGGTCGCCTCTGACTAACTCCTGCAGTCACGCCCTGATTGGTGTGACTGCAGGAGGAAAGACTGTCGGCAGGTCGCCTCTGCTGCTGCGGGTCGCCGCACTTCTGCCTGACGTCTGGCAAAATCGACAAAAACCCAGACGACTCCAAAACATATCAGCCCAGATCTGATCCTCTAATACGGGGGTCGACTAGCAGTGGGCCAAAAAGCCCTAAAATCAAGAACACAAAGCATCTAAATTATTGCAGATCCAAAACCCGAAAGGTTTTTAGCAGCAGTTATTTGGGCCCATTGTACATAGAAAAAATTAGTAAACTTCCACCAAAACATTTTGCGTGGCTCAATGCAGCGCCCCCACAGGCGAGGAGGGGAACTGGTTTCTCAAATGATTTGGAAGAGAATCACAGCAGCTGAAAATGTAATGTTCTGCTTGCTAATCAAAGCAAGTCTTTTAGGTGTTTGACTCTTACCTGTGATTCTTCATGTTCTGTTTTTTCTCTCAGCTTTCACCATGATGATCATCTTGGCTCTGATCCGGATCGGTAAAGGAACGGGCGAAGGCCGTCCGCCGGTCGCCAGCCTCTCCGGAGTGCCCAACCTGTTCGGCGTGTGCGTCTACTCCTTCATGTGCCAGCACTCGCTGCCCTCCCTGGTGACACCCATCTCGGATAAGAAGCGGGTCGGCAGCCTGGTTCTGGCCGACTACATCCTCATCCTGGGCTTCTACGTCCTGCTGTCGTTCACCGCCATCTTCTGCTTCGACAGCTCGCTGCTGCACGACATGTACACCTTGAACTTCACCGACAACTGCGACGTGTTGGACATCCCGGTGCTGCGCTACTTCCTGGGCTTGTTTCCCGTTTTCACCATCAGCACCAACTTCCCCATCATCGCCGTGACGCTGCGCAACAACTGGAAGACGCTGTTCCACCGGGATGGCGGCACCTACCCGTGGGTGGTGGACCGGGTCGTGTTTCCCCTCATCACCCTGGTGCCGCCCATCGTGGTGGCGTTCTGCACGCACAATCTGGAGTCCCTGGTGGGGATCACGGGGTCGTACGCGGGGACGGGGATCCAGTACGTCATCCCGGCGTTGCTGGTGTTCTACGGCAGGCGCCACCTGGAGCCCGTGATGGGCAGAGACGCCGTCAACAAGCACCGCTCTCCGTTCAGCCACTCCTTCTGGGTGTGGTTCGTGTTGGTGTGGGCGGCGTCTTGCCTCATGTTCGTCACCGCCAACATCATCCTAACTGACACGAAGAAATGAGAACCGCTTTCAACGGAGAAATCTGTTTGGCCAGTTTTCTTGGTTCTCGAGGAATTAGCTGCTGCTGGGGGGACTGTGCCTTTAACCAAACTGCACTGCAAAAATACAAAACCTCACCAAGTATTAGTCTAGTTTCTACTGCAAATATCTTAATACAGTCAATGAGGCAAAACTAAACATGCACAAAACTAATTAGTTACAACAATATATTTAAAATAGTATAATTTAGTTTTGTCTTATTTAAAATTAGATGTTTGCTCCAGACAAAAAATACTTTTGTAGTTTTTGGTTTAATTTTAACGTAATCAATGTTTTATCGGTTTAACAAAAGGGACCAATTTTTTTAATTTTTTTTGTGATCAAAGGGATTTTATTAAACTCGTGTTTCCTCATCAAGCAGCCGACAGGTTGAGCTTTGTGTTGGCGTCCTGCGACTTTTAGAGGATTCGTCCCTGATTTGATTTATTTACCAGATTTATGCAGATTTGAAAAACAGAAATCAGTGTTTATGTTGCAAAACATTTTAACAAGAATTTTAAAATCTAGTTTCTAATCAAAAATAATTCACAAGTAACATTTTAGCAAAATAATGGTGGTTTTAATTTCTTATTATTGATGGAAAATTAATGGTTTTACATATAAAAGGGAAAATGTTTTGTTACAAGTGAAATAAATATCAATATTATATAATCCATCCATTTTCTAACACCTTTGTCCCCATTGGGGTCGATGCAGCTGCTGCTGCATCTCCAGATAACGTTGCAGGCGGCGAATTTAGAAAGACCAGTAAACCTGACATGTTTTTGGACTGTGGCAGAAAGCCGGAAAACCCGCCATGCACAGGGAAAACCCAGGCCGGGAATCGAACCCAAAACCTTCTTGCTGCAAGGCAACGGTTTCATAGCTTTCTGAAAAGTTACAAGTTTTCTCTAATTTTAAGTTTACTAGAAATTAGATAAAATACTTGGTAATGTTTTGTTTTTGCAGTGTGTGAATGCTGCCATGCAGTTACGCTAAAGAGAAGTCATAGTTTTCCATCATCACAATTGTACTAAATATTGTGATGAAATTCTAACTAGTACTTTTTAAATCCACATTAAGGACTTAATTTATTGACTTAAATTAAGTTCATATAAATTAAGCTGAAAAGTTATTTGTAAGTTGTACCAAGATATTTAAACGAGATGAAAATAGTTGGGAAGAGTTTGGTTTTTTCAGTGTAATCAAGTTTCAACCTGCTACCTCTCACTTGAGTTTTTCTAACGACTGTCATTAAAACCTCCCACTGGGAAACAGAAACGGTGACGGATCCTTCCTGCAGAGCGTCAATAAAACTTCATCAACACAGCAAAGAGGAGCCGCTTCACTGCAACCAGGCTGGAAGAAAAACTCCCCTCAGCAGGGGGTCTGAGGCGACGATCCCCCTGTGAGAAACCCACGGATCCACTCCGGTTTCTGGGTTTACGTTCCGGACCCGTTTCAGCTCATCGGTCTGAAACGTCCCGCTTTAGCAGATCAAAAGCTTCAGTTTGAGTTTCATCATCAATTAAACGATGAAGATCCGAGTCGAAGAGCAAATGAAATCATTTGATGCGCAGTGTCTGAAATTCTGCTGACATTCCTGAACTGAATCCTGAAATATGGAGCATGAAAAGCAAAATTATGTTTTTGTAATTTCAAATAAAAATGTCAAATTTCTACTCAGACTTTCAGTTTAGCACCTTAAGCTTCATGTGAAACATTATTTTAGATCATATTTACTGAATTATTCCTGCAAAATACTCTGAAGCCTCAAACACTAGTCTGCTGCTTGCTGGGACTCTAAACTTGTTAATGTGCTGAAATTTTAAAGTTGGATCCTAGGGGGCGCTGCTGGGGTGTGCAGGTGAGCTTCACCTGCAGCAAAGTGTCGAGGGAGGAAAACAAACGCTTGAGTTGCTGGATATGATTTTTATTTCTCTCTATGAATCTGAGTGACTCAATTTTAATTTTTCCATCGTTTTTGGTGCTTCTTTTTCTTGCCTGTTTGAAATGTTGACAATCCACATGGTGCCAAAAATCTTATTTTTTTCAATGTAACTCTTTTGTTTTTAAATGTTTACTGTTTTTTTTCCCTTTTTGTATATTCGTTTGTTTCTGTATGGATGTTTACTACTTTTTTCTGTCCAGTTTCTGTTTTTTTTTTAATTTCACAAAATAAAATTTCTTAAAACTGGAGCTTGAACATCGGAGGGAACAGCCGTCATTTGTTGAGGCATCAAAATGATTCCCTGTGGGAGGCTGGAAGGATATTGGCTCTTTTACTTTTGGACAGTTGTGACGTTTTTACCACTGAGGATGTGATTAGCATCTCAAAAGCTCCACTAATGTCTGACCTGTCCGCATGGCTCCAGCAGTCACTGGTAAAGATCCCCTACTCCAACATCTTTCTCACCATGTAAAGAGGAGCAGCAAAAGCAAATGAGTTGGATTAGTAAAGCTGCTAATCATCCAGGAAACTGAGCTGTTAGCATGTCTCCACAGCCATGAAACCAGCTGTTTTGATTACAAATGTTTGAAAAACATTTTGGCAATTGTGGTATTTCTATTGAAGAAATAATTAAAATCACAGGTGAAAATATCATTTAAAAAACCCCAAAACAAACATGGCGACCCTTCACCCTCCTACCACTTCCTGTTTTCTTCTATGTTCCACCAGAAGCAACATCCGGTTGCAACATCCGGTTGCTTCTGGTGCAAACAGAAACTGAAATGGAAATTAAACCTACTTGTTCTGAACAGCCATGTTACCGGATCGTCTCTGTGAAACTCAAAGCTCGGTTTAGTGAAAGGCTCCTCTTTACCCTGATGACCAACGTTTTGTCACGTCGGTGAATTAAAGTGTCGTAAACAGACGGCAGCTGCTTCCTTACATCCAGAAACAAGATCCAGTCAAATCCCTTTAGACGCTGCTTTTGTAATTAACGGCGCCTTTAAGCGCAGCAGTGTGACTTTCTTTATCCTGCTGAATGAGAAATTCCCCTCTGGCTGCTTTCCAAACCAAACGAGTCGCCCACCTGTTTCTGGAGTCGTTGCCACCGACCGAGTCCATGAATCAAACCCAGAACTTTGTGGCGTTCAGCAACGTTTCGACCCATTTCCACTCTGAGGCCTGGCAGGTAATTGGCTGAATCTCTTCTTCACCTCAATCTTCCTAGAAGCACAGTGTTGGTGGGCTTTTTGTTTTTTATTTATTAATACATGAGGTTGCTGTTTTTATTATCCAAGCAAAGTTTCCTCTCTGAATTTCAATCCCAGCTGAGACGCTCGGTGTAATTTAATTTACCTTCTGGCCGTTTTCTGCATGTAGGGAGTGTCTGAATGTTTGGGGGCAGAACTTTAATTGGAAAAGCAAACTTGGCGGCTCTTAATTAATTCATGTTTACCTGCCGGATTGTTTGAGATTTAGAAGAGCTGCTTCCCGTCTGCAAATATTTAATCACCTGGAGGGAAATTTAGCTTGGTTTTTTAATCTGGTGGCTTCATCAGAAATAATCAGAGTTTAAAACAGATTCTGGTTTCAGACAAGATAAACAAAACCAGATTTACAGCAGGTAAAAACTTGGTTTGGTTCAGACTCAGAATGTTTTAGCAACATTTTCATTGCACAATTTGACATTTCAAAAATAAATTTTTATCAGAAACATGGCAATTTTGAAAAACTCTTCCAGATCAAAATTGATTTATTAAAGCTGAAGGAAAACATAAAATAATCGAAACAAATTCCACATAAAGTGATGAACTGTTTGTTTTTTTTTTTTGCTGTAAATGGGTTCATGAGTTGATTGACAGCGCTAAGACCCGCCTCCTGGCTCTGATTGGTTGTTTTTGACATTTTTTAGGCAGTAATAAAGGCTCAGGGAGGAACAGACACAGATCATCTGTCCTACACTGTAAAAAACACAAAATCTCACCATGTTTGTGGTTTAGTTTCTACTGCAAATTCCTTAACACACTTGAAAATATGACAAAATTAACTTATAACTTTTCATTGTCACAACAAAACACTTAAAAAATAAACATGACAAACTTCAGGTTTAATATTCAGTTTAATTCACTTAAAAGTGAAACATAAACTAAAGTCTCTATAAGTGCAACATAAAAGCTTCGTCCTTGTGAGGACGCCGGTACCGGTACCATCTGCAGTCGGATCCACTCTGGGCTGCAGCTTTATCACTGGATTTATTTACTGTGGCTGCTGGCTGGAGCCCACAGGTGATCCAGGCTGGAGGTGATGATGAGTCCATAAAGCGGCTTTATTAAGCCGAGTCCTGTCCGGGCTCCTGGCGCTCATTAACGGGTCACACGGCCGTGGCTGAAAGCTTTGCTTCACCTTGCTCACTAATGGCAGCCAGTGAGCAGAAGACGAGATAAGACCGGGATGCATTAAAGCAGAGCCAGCGGCTGTTTACCGCCTGTTAGCAGAGAAAAGAGGAGTTGCAAGTAGAAGTGTGCCGCCGCTGCCTGTCTGCTCATCATTCACATGGAAAACTCACCTGCTGCAGGTTTAAAAGCAGCCAGGTGTCCCTCCTCTCCTGTGACAGATGCTTTTCTTTTCATTCCAGACAGATGAGCCTCGTTTTTAATACCCAAACTTTCATTAGGGCTCAGCAGACGTCTGGGGCGAGATCAGGGTCAGCAGCGTGAGGAGGCCAGAACCAAACCCAGTTATTAGTGCAGCAACAAGGCAGCGCAAAGAGCTGCGCAGCATCAAAACTGCAGCGCAAAGAGCTGCGCAGCATCAAAATTGCAGCACAAAGAGCTGCGCAGCATCAAAACTGCAGGACAAAGAGCTGCGCAGCATCAAAACTGCAGCGCAAAGAGCTGCGCAGCATCAAAACTGCAGCGCAAAGAGCTGCACAGCATCAAAATTGCAGCACAAAGAGCTGCGCAGCATCAAAACTGCAGCACAAAGAGCTGCGCAGCATCAACGATGCATGCAGGCAGGTTCTGGTTCTGATAACACATTTTACTGGATGATAAACCGCCCCAGAAGTTATTGTGATAAACGATACGTTGTTGTTTGGAGACGATTTTATCGTAACATCATGGAAGAAAACGTTCTCAAACCTTAAACTCACATTTAACACTGGAACCAGAAAACGTTTTAAATTTCCAACAGATGTTTGGAAATCTGGGAGTTTGTTCCAGATGTGTGGTGCATAGAAGCTGAATCCTGCTTCTCCATGTTTGGTTCTGGGGATACAGAGCAGAACCAGAACCAGAACCAGAACCAGAACCTGAGAGGAAGGTTGAACCAGCAACAGCAGCTCTTTATTTTGGTGCTAAATCGTTCAGTCATTTATAAATTAGCAGAAGTAAAAATAATCTCAACATTTATGAGTATTTTCTACCAATTTTTGTACTTTTTGAGCTCCAAACTTTCTTGTTTTTTTTTTTTTTTGGCTGAACTGTTTAATACAAATATTTAATTAGTCCTTTGATCAACAACGCAGAAAAAAAAGGATTTCAGCAAAAACCCGAGGCTGAGATCAAGACAAATCCGTTCATATCTGATTTTAATTTCTTTAAAAACAAGTTTTTGTAGCAAAGATTTTATGAAGGCTGGAAAACAACTAAAAAATCTAATTTAATGACTTTATCCTGCAGTTGCTGCTTCTGTGCACCGTTTATTCAGCATGTAGTTTCATTTCTTTGTTGGTTTTGCATGAAGCAGTTTTTTTTTATCAGCAGATGGTTTGGATATTCTCGCTGCGTCTGTCTGGGTGTCAGGTTGTGATTTATAACCATTACTGCCAGCATGCAGATGAACGCAGGCGTCATGTTTACAATCAGCAGCCTCACGGCTCCGTCCGTGTTCGACCCGACCGGCTCTGCGGTCATTCTGCGATCCAACACATGAACTTATTTCGGATTTCATTTCCTTTTCCTTAAAGGGAAAAATGAGACATTTGTTTGGGTGTCACGTGATTGTCTGAAAAGCTGCTTTACAGGCTTTTTCCTCCCAGTGGGAAACACTAATCCCTGCTTCGTTCACTTGTTTGAAACGACAGCCTCCGGGCGGAGCATCTGGTAAAAACTCTAGTTTCAGTATCGGCCTCAAAATCCCATGTTGGTCTAATCCTAATCCACTCAGTGGTGCATCCACCGACCCTCAGGAGTCGTGTCAGGCCACGTTCGTAATGGAAGAAGGAAGTGACCAATACTGGGTATAAACATGGATAGATGATTTCTTTCCTCTCAGGCAGAGATCCAGAAAGCATTTTTGGTTCTGTTTTCTGCTGTTGGGTCAACAGTCTGACCGCCGGCAGCAGAACGCATCACTTCACCTCTGATGGACGAAAGTCCTCTGACGAGACAGATGTTGCCTTCCAGCTCTGGTTCATCGTCTCAGTTTGAACAATAAAACCAGTGAAACCAGTAAAACCCGTCGTGTTGAGCAATAAATCAAATGATCGCATGATAAATTAAAACGAGCTTCATCATTTCTGGATGATAAAAGGTTTTAATCTGGTCTGTTGGTCTCAACTGGCAACTTATTGAAGGGCAACTTTGTTTACGTCAATGTTCAATAAATTTGTTTTGTTGATTTATTTAGGATATTTTCAGTTCCAAATATTAAAGTTTATCGACCTTCGAGATGCCGTATCTCAAATGGTCTCAAAACATCAATATTATTGTTTCTCTCAGTGACGTCTGGGACGGATTATCCAAGTTTCTGGTTTCTAATCTGGTCGACATGAACGACGAGTGATTGATGGAACTGATTTCATTTGCAGAGTCTGCAGCTTTCAGCAAGTTGAATTTAAGACTTTCATACTTGAAAGTATGACCTCCTGTTGGTTTTCTTATTTTTACTTTCATGGCACTAATGGGCTTCCATACTTTTGGATGTGTAAAAAAAAAACAAATCAAAGTGGAAATCAATAACTGAATTCATGATGGGTTCCTGACATCTTTATTTATGTATTTCTTTTCAGTTTATTTAATTGTTTTCTGTGTTTTTTATTATTAAATTTTAATTTAATTTAGTTTTGTCCTTCATCTGTAGTTTCCAGATGACTTGTGTTAAACAGAAATAAGATGTGAAACTGGAACAAAATGGACTTGTGTGTTTATGTAAATAAATGTGATTTATTTTTCAGTTTGTGACTGGAAAATAAATCCAAAGTTTAGCAAAAGAAGAAAACAAGCAGATCAGTTTTCACAGCAGCGTG